CAGCTCAGAGAACACCCACAAACACTGTACTTACTAGATTATTGGCTTATTATAAAAGGATGTAAGTCAGGAACAGCCAGATGGAACAGATGCTTAGGGCAAAGTATGTGGGAAGGGGTGAGGAACTTCTATGCCCTATGCAGGCGTGCCTCTCTAACAGGACTTCCATGTGTTGACCCACCTGGAAGCTCTCCAGACCATATGAGAAACTCCATATTACATGGACATGATTGATTAAATCATTGGCCACTGGTGATTAATTCAACCTCTGGACATTTTTACCCTCCCCTGAAATCAGGAGGTGGGACTGAAAGTTCCCTTTGCTATTCATGGTTGGTTCCCCTGGCAACCAGTCCTCATCTTTAGGTCCTTTCCAAAATTCACCTCATTAACATAAGTCTAATGATGGTGGAAAGGGGCTTATTATGAGTAACAAAACACCCGTTTTTGCCTTTATGGTTCTGAAGTGATTTCAGGAACTGGGGCCAGGAGACCAAATGTTAAAAACAAAAACAAAAAAACAAAAAACAAAACCCTTATTGCTCTTATCACTCATGAAATTCCAAGTGTTTTAGAGAGATATGAGCCAGAAACTGTGGATGAAGGCCAAACGTACATGAGAAATATATTTTGGTCATCTGAATGACCATGTAGGGGCCAAGGCCAGGCTACCCCAAGATGGGCCACTTTGACATAAACATTATTTTAAGTTAAAAGCAATCAAAACCCAGAAGATTCAGGAAAAGCTCTTTATCTCCTCCTCAACTGCCTGCCTATACCAGGAAGAGAACTATTAACAGAGATTCTTCTTTTTCTAAGATATTTATTTGTACAGTAGGATCACCTCTGTTTTCTAAACATCTCTCACCTCCCTGCTAATGTTTTGCTCAGCCTCCTACCCCTCTCCTAAGCTCATTTATATTGCTTCACTGTCTTTGGAATTTCATACATAGGAAACTATATTTGATCTTCTCTTGTTAACCTGTCTCATGTCAATCTGATTCTTAGTCCAGCTAGAAGGACCTTGAAGGGCAGAGAACATTCTTCCTCCACAATGACCAAATACATAATTCTCATAAATCACCATATCACAGAAGATAAATAGGGAACAACTGTACTGCACAAAGAAGAATGGTTAAATGGTTATGTGGCACATTCCAACCAGGAATTTTGTGGCCACTTAAAGCTTGTAGTAAGCAGTAAGACTGCCAGGATATAGTGAGATGAGGTCATAGAATGGTGTTCATAGTGTTACTCAGTTATATAAAACTAATTAAAAAAAAAAACTGTATGATTGTGTTTGGTAGTGTATTTTTAAAAAGATCTTGAAGGCTCTACCAAACTATTTTAAGTAGATAGACCCTCCTTTCACTTATTACTCTCTAATGGCTCTGAATTGGGAACTTTTTATGAACATATATTACTTTTATAATTTTATTAAAAAAATTTTTTTAAGTAGACTCCATGCCCAACCTGGGGCTTGAGCTCAAGACCCTGGCATCAAGAGTCACATGCTCTACTGGCTGAGCCAGCCAGACGCCCCTGCTTTTATAATTTTAAAACAGCTTTTAAATGATGGTGGCAACAGAGCAGTTGAAAGGAAGAAAGAGTCTGAAGACAAGAGTGATGGGAAAGGAGGAAGATCCCAGAGGGAGCAGGAACAGATAATGATCGTAGCATAAGTAGCAGCAGGAGCAACTAACATTCATTAAGCAACTGAAATATTCCAAACTGTTGTAAATTCTTTTTTTTTTTAATTTTTTTTAATGTTTATTTTTGAGACAGAGAGAGACAGAGCATGAACGGGGGAGGGGCAGAGAGAGAGGGAGACACAGAATTGGAAACAGGCTCCAGGCTCTGAGCCATCAGCCCAGAGCCCGACGTGGGGCTCGAACTCACGGACCGCGAGATCGTGACCTGGCTGAAGTCGGACGCTTAACCGACTGAGCCACCCAGGCGCCCCCAAACTGTTGTAAATTCTTGATGATTCTGTGAGGTATATATTATCTGTCAAGGAAATGGTAGCACAGAGAGATCAGGCAACTTGCATAGTCGGATAGCTCACATATGGTACAGCTGGGATTCAAAACCAGGGAGTCTGGATCGAGAGCCAATGCTCTTAATCACTGCCCTCTACTGCTGGCTGAGGTGGGGTCCAGAGCACAGGTGGAAGCTGGCCTGACAAGAAGAGAAACTTGTTTAAACCACTGTATTCATTTTCTATTGCTGGATAACAAATTACCACAAACTTAATGGCTTCAAACATATATTATCTTACAGTTCTGTAGATCATAAGTCTGAGCAGACTCCACTGGGTTTTCTGCTTAGTGTCCCACAAAACCAAAATCAAGATGTCAGCAGGGTTGGAGGCTCTGGGTGAAGATTCTTTCCTTTGGCTGTAGGACAGAGTTTCCCATCTCCTTGCTGGTATTGGTCAGGGGCCTCTAATTTGTGTCTACTGCATTCCTCACCTTATAGCCCACTGTAGTCCTGTCATCTTTAAATCAGCAATGGTATGAAGGAATGGAATCTGAGTTCCTATATTACTACCAGCCAGAGAAACTCTGGCTGTTACTTGTTTAGGAGCACACAGATAATGTCCCTTTCCTTGTGCTTGTAAAATAATCTAATCACGAAAGTAGAATTCATCATATTAACAGTCACAGATATCAGTGGGGAGAAATGTTGGGACCATTTTAGAATTTTGTCTGCCACAACTATTATGATGAATTTGTAGGATGTCTTGGTGAAGGGAGGTCTGAGGGCTTGTAATGCTTTCCTGGATGAGTGGAAAATGCTCCATTTGAAGGTAGATGCTTGAAAATTAAGGTTTGAGTAGGTGACTAATACATTTTTGCTTGCTGGTCAGCTTTATGGGCTCAGTTGAGTTTGGAGATGATGAATTTGTGGGGGTACCAATCTACAGAGCTGTGTGATTTTTCTCTAGTAGTCTGGGTATAGATGCAGAAGAGGTTTGTGGTCTTTCTGAGAAAGCTGGGCAAAAGGACCACAGGTCAAGGGAGATGACAGGCTTAAGTGATGGACTCTGGGATCTAGGCCAGAAACAAAAGACAGACAAAACCAGAGTGAAGGAGTAGGGACGGTAGTTACCTTGCAAGGGTTGTAGGAGATGGCCTGACTTCCAGTTATAGCAAGAAGTGGAGGAAGGTTTCATTAAGAGGTTAAAGATACAGAGCAGTGGTTCCCTAAGTGTGGTTCTCAGACCAACAGTGTTAGCATCATTAGGGGTCTTATTAGGAAAATTCCCAGGTTAACCACAAACCTACTGAATTAGAAACTCTGGAAGTCTGGGAGCACAGGAATCTGTGTTTTAACAAGCCCTGCAGTAGGTATTGATGCCCCAAGGCTTGAGAATCATTGATGTAGTCTTTCATATTAAGAGTGCTTTTAGGGGCGCCTGGGTGGCTCAGTTGGTTAAGCGTCCGACTTCAGCTCAGGTCATGATCTCGTGGTCCGTGAGTTCAAGCCCCGCGTCGGGCTCTGTGCTGACTGCTCAGAGCCTGGAGCCTGTTTCAGATTCTGTGTGTCCCTCTCTCTCTGCCCCGCCCCCGTTCATGCTCTGTCTCTCTCTCTCTCAAAAATAAATAAACGTTAAAAAAAAAAATTAAAAAAAAAAAGTGCTTTTATTGTGAATAGGATTCCAGAGGGACAGTAAGAAATTCCTAGAAGAAGAGTATGAGACTGGTAGGAAACACCGAGATAATATGGGAGAGGACAAATGGCCTATGTTCTGCATGCTGACCTAGGATGCCAAGGATAAATGTAAAGGATGCCTGAATTAACTGGCCTTAGAATTTTCAGAAATAACAAGCCTTAGCTGGCTGATTCTAATCTGGACCAATGTGTTATTGAGGTACTACTATTCCAAGGCCAAGATTGGGAGCATTTATTGATGAGTAGGAAATGGGTCCGTTCTGGGACTGGATTGGCTGTTCTCAACCTCCAGGGAAAGACTCAGAAATGGGAGAAGAGTTACTGGGGCCCTGAAAACCGCAACAGCCCCTGCTGAAGAGGGAGGGATGCCTGTGAGCAAGCTCTATCTCCATATGGCTCAGTAAAAAACAAGATTTACTCTCCCTTGGCTGCAGGCACCACCATGATGGGCTGAGCTGCTTTTGCTATGGCACAAAGATAGAGGAGCACAGGTAGGTTGTGCTTAACCAACAGGAAGATGAAGGAAGTGTGGGATGTATTTTGGGATGTGAGTAGCTGACCCCATATAATAATTCCCCTGTATTCTTAAAAATTTTCTGATTCAATGACTCTGGGAAAAATCTTGGGACTCAATAAGATTTAAACACGTGAAATACAATGTAGCCACGCAAGATTTTTCATTGCTGTTACAAGGAACCCTTCCTCATCAATTAACAAACCATCTCAGATGATTATACACATACCTTTTGGTGCAGCAATGCCAAAAGAGATTAAACAGATTAAAATAATCTGTTTTATACTGTTAAAAAAAACCAATATACAGATGAGTGTGTATGTATTCGTGTCAAAAAAAAAAAGCCCTATATTTGTGATATATAAAATACTTCTGGAAGACTAAACAAGCACCTTGTAAAACTGTACCCTTTGGGGAAGGGAAATGGGTAGCTGGGGGAGAAAAGAAGGAAGAATTTCCATGATTAAAAACCTTATGTACCTTTTAAATTTGGAGCACATGAATGCATTATTAAGAAATAAAAAGTTACTACATTTAAAAAATAAATAATGAGCTTTTATTATCCTCGACAGCAGAGAAAAGCCACGCTGGAGTCTCTGGGAATTCTGGGAACACTCCCGGGGGGAGGGGAAGGCTGCAGCAGCACCTGGAGCTTCCTCAGAGACTCATTCCCTCAGTCTCACCCCCCTGGCAGAGGCAGCTGGAAGGAATCACAAACTGCAGGGATCAGTGGGAGGAAGACAATGAACAATGCCTTCCTGCCTGAAATCAGCCGCTGTCCAGAGCCAGCACCAGGGAAGACACAACTCACCCTCCGGGGGTCACGTCTTTGCTGGAAGGCAGGTGAGAATTCACACGTGTGACACCGAATGCCCTGCTCTCTTGGGGTCTCCAAGTCCTCCCCGATTCCACACCCTCTGGCCTGGGGCCACAGTGTCTGATTTTTGAGAGGAGAACATGGAATAGGTCAAGTTTTAGTCCGAGTCTGAACTCTCATTCGACTTGGAAGACTTATGCTTTCGTTTTTTCTTCTTCTTCTTTTCTTTTTTCCTTTTCTTATGCTTTTCTTTCTTCTTCTTTTTCTTGTGTTTCTCTTTACATTCTGAGGAGCTGGAGCTGCTGCCATCTTCATCGGAGGTGGAATCCTCCAGTAACTGTTTTAACTGCTGTATCCTAAACAGAAGTTTGACCAAAGAACCATATTTAACTTAAAAAAACTGTAGATAAAGATGATGTGAGAGCAGCAGTGAGGGTACAAATTGTCATGAATAACCACCTTGCGAAAGACGGTACTTATCTGTGCATGTCTTCCCCATTCTTGTCCACGTCCATGCCTGTTTGACAGGACTGTAACCAGTATATGAGCCATTCTGTGTTCTTTTCATTGTCCTAAATATTTCTGCATGTTTCTCGAGTCCTTACCACAGAACTTCTAACAGATGCCTACTTTACTTACTCACCGCCCCCAACTGCTCAAGTAATCTACCTCCTCAAAACAATTATTACTCAGCGTCACCAATTTTGGGAAAAACAAACTCTCCCGTTTCTTCACCCTATCTTTCTTCATGTCTAAGGATCATTTTTAACAATAGCTCAAATCCTTAAAGACACTGGAGATGATAGACTAAGCTATGGTTGGTTGCCAACATCAACTATCAGTGGTATATGAGCAGGCTGGGCCAAGCCCACTGCTTTAAGCCAACCCAGATAGAACAAGGCTGGCCTGCTCATTCCCCACACACTGGCCTTTCCAGTGATTTCTCCTGCCTTCCACATATATCACAACTACATTAAAGTACCATATTTACCAAACCACTCATCTAATACCAGAATGGGTGTTTCCAACTTTATGTAAGAGGGTATTGTTATCACCAGGACCACCTCACCTTATGTCCTTTTCATGTCTTTTATTCTCTCGTATGATATCATACATAGGATCTTCATGTGCCTTGAGGATTAGAGAAGGGTAAGGTTGGATTAGGGCTTTGTGGACTGTTAGTTAAAGTAAAATTAAATTCATATTTCACTGAAACCAGTTTTTTTTTTCCTGTTTGGTGTAATTTTATATTTAAAATTTTCTAATCCTTCTTAAGGGTCATCATCACTTCAAACTTGTGGAAGTTACAAAAAAGATTTTTCAATTATACAAATACAATTTGATAAAATATAATCTGAATAGCCTTTTTAAGGATATAAACCATGAAAGATTCATTATTAAATATTACTCAAGGTTAGAAGTATTGAGGTAATTCTATGAGGACAGATGATCAAGAGATATTAAAATAAGTTGGAAAACGATACATAAGAATGATTCATTTACAGGTGCACAAAAACATATGTATATGCCCAAAAAGAACTGTAGAAGTATACTTATCAAGCTACTTAATGCATATTCACTCTGTAGAGACACAATATTGCTTTTGAAAAATCAATTGTGAAAAGCCTTAATGTAAAATGTCAATTTAGTTAAAGCAAATGTATTCTTGTAACATTTGTGTAATTAAAAAGTACTTGCTTAGAATATGACTACACATAGACTGAACTTTGTGGTATGTCAAATATCTTTAAAAATATCTAGGGGCGCCTGGATGGCGCAGTCGGTTAAGCGTCCGACTTCAGCCAGGTCACGATCTCGCGGTCCGTGAGTTCGAGCCCCGCGTCAGGCTCTGGGCTGATGGCTCGGAGCCTGGAGCCTGTTTCCGATTCTGTGTCTCCCTCTCTCTCTGCCCCTCCCCCGTTCATGCTCTGTCTCTCTCTGTCCCAGAAGTGAATAAACGTTGAAAAAAAAAAATTAAAAAAAAAAAAAATCTAGTAAAAGTTTTACATATTTAAGATAAAAAAGAAGCTAAAAATGTCTATATTTGTACCATCCAGAGATATCCACTGCTAACATTTTAATGTGGTTGTTCCAGTCATCATTCATAATTTACAAAAAATTATAATCATATTATATATACAACTCTATTCTCTTTTTCACTAAGATTTTATTTTTAAGTAATCTTTACACCCAACGTGGGACTCAAACCTACAACTCTAAGATCAAGAGTTGCACGCTCTTCCAACTGAGCCAGCCAGGCACCTCTTTCTCACTTATGTCTTCATGAGCATATTCCTATGATACTACACATATTTCTAAAACATGATTCTTAAAAGCTATATGACTTCTATGTTACAGTACTTACGTTGATGTGCTGGCCACTGCAGTTGTTTCCTATTTTTCTTTAGTCTATTTTTCAGTCATATAAATAATTCTAAATAATCCCTTATACTTTAATAAAAACTTGTATATATTGATTTTTGTTATACCCTTAGGATCTATCCTTAGAATTTGGGTTTCTGAATTAAAAATAAATGAATTTGTTCATTTTTTGAGAGTTATGACCAATTTATCTGTTATAGGAATTGTAAAAATTGTCATTCTAGGTAGCGTTGATTTATCCAGAATATTTTCTTCAATTTTTTTAAATGAAAGCACAATTTTAAATGTCTTAAAATCCCTGGCAAATGTTTGTGGACCTTAGTTTGATATATGGAGATAATCCCAATCTATCTGATAACAGCACAGCTGAATTGACTGAAACTGACTGGTGAATTAATCGTTGGAGGTGAGTGTAAAATAAAGTGGGGAAACGACAGATTTATTTTACTGTTATGTAAAGAGGATATATCATTTATTTTTTTTTTTTATTTTTTTTTATTAAAAAAATTTTTTTTTTCAACGTTTATTTATTTTTGGGACAGAGAGAGACAGAGCATGAACGGGGGAGGGGCAGAGAGAGGGAGACACAGAATCGGAAACAGGCTCCAGGCTCCAGGCTCCGAGCCATCAGCCCAGAGCCCGACGCGGGGCTCCAACTCACGGACCGCGAGATCGTGACCTGGCTGAAGTCGGACGCTTAACCGACTGTGCCACCCAGGCGCCCCTAGAGGATATATCATTTATAAACACACTTCTACTTTATAATAGAAAGATATTTAATCTTTAGACAAAGATTGGGAAACTAGAATGATGATTTTAGTTATGAAACAAGATTTTTTAAATATAATAAGTAAAAAGTGACTGAAAACATAACAGTGTCTTTTGGAAAAAGAAATCAGTGTTCCCAAGGCATAAGCAAGTAACGCTTTAACAAAAGTTAAGTTTTTGTTAATGAACTAATCTATCACACAAATTCAGTTTAACAGAGATGTAGTTAACACTACATATTTTGGCCAAAAGGCTCTGGGAATATATTTTATGTTAACCTCCAGTTCACTGGTAACTGCCTGAGTCACTTGACATTCCCCATCTCTGGTAAATGTAAATTGAAACTCAAGAGTTTTACTTACTACTCTGAACTGTTCTAACTTTTGGTTGCCTTTGATAAAGAAAGGGCATTCTTTGTCGCCTGTTCGGTGACCGTACCGTTTACAACGCCAACCTAAAAGAAAGAAAAGGGATACATTTCTGTAAGATAAAGCAGTTTTACCTAATTAAGATAAAGTATCAGTAGATCATACTAAAGATATTTTTCATTAGATTCCAATTTCCAAAGCTAATGCAATTAGTGGATGAACCATGTAAGATACCAGAAAACTGAGAGAAAACAATTGCTTCCTCAAGCATCCTTTCTTTAATCTTGGGTTTTAGAAATGAGCCAAGTAGGGGCGCCTGGGTGGCTCAGTCGGTTAAGCGTCTGACTTCGGCTCAGGTCATGATCTCACTGCTCATGAGTTTGAGCTCCGAGTCAGGCTCTGTGCTGATAGCTTGGAGCCTGGAGCCTGCTTCAGATTCTGTCTCTGTCTCTCTGCCCCTCCCCTGCTCATGCTCTGTCTCTCTCTCTTAAATATAAAATAAAATGTAAACAAACGAACAAACACAAATGAGCCAAGTAGTTACTAAGCAATCCTGTGCTAAAAGCAAAGTGTGATTTTGTTTTAATAGTGTGTTATGGCTTGAACGGTATTGCTCCCTCCACCCTGTCCCCCCATTATGTTGAATGTTCTAACCGCTTGTACTTCAGAATATGACCTCATTGCGAGATAGGATCTTTAGATCCCTAGGCCTGGGACAGATCCTTTTCTCACAGCCTTCAGAAGGAATCAACACTGGGGCGCCTGGGTGGCTCAGTCAGTTAAGCGGCCGACTTCGGCTCAGGTCATGATCTCGCGGTCCGTGAGTTCCAGTCCCGCATCAGGCTCTGTGCTGACAGCTCAGAGCCTGGAGCCTGTTTCAGATTCTGTGTCTCCCTCTCTCTGACCCTCCCCCGTTCATGCTTTGTCTCTCTCTGTCTCAAAAATAAATAAACGTTAAAAAAAAAAAATAGAAAAGACAAATTTAGAAGAAATAAAAACATAACGAGAAGAAAAAATTAATATCCTTAGAGAACATATTGCAACAACAGAATTAAAAAAATCATAGAAGAAAATCACAGCTTTTGGAATTGAAATAAAAATCTTAACTGAAGGACTGTAAGATATGTTGATGAAATAGTCTAGAAAGCAGAAAAAAAATAGGACAGGAAAGATCAGAAATTAGAAAATCAATCTAGGAAGCTCATCGGGTGAGCTCTAGCCCCACTTTGGGTGAGCCCCACTTTCTCTCCCTCTCTCTTCTGCCCCCTCACTCACTTGTGCCCTCTCTCTCAAAACAAAACAATTCTTCTGTAGTAAGAAGTCAACAAATAATGAAGAAACCTGAAAAATCAAAAGGCAGGAATATAATCATTTAATTTAGATACATAGAGATAAACTTGAAAATATTTAAATTTTATTTAAGTAATCTACACCCCATGTGGATCTCAAACTCACAACCCTGAGATCAAGAGTCACATGCTCCTTTGACTAAGCCAGCCAGGCGCCCCCCCAAATAATCTTAAAAGAGGTTTACAAGGTTACCTTTAGGGTGAGGTGAATGGGGCAAGGAACTAGGAACTGCTATTTTTTTTTTTTTAAGATATTTGTTGTATTCAAACAGTTTTCTCTATTTTTATTTTTTTAAATGTTAAAAAAAAATTTTTTTTAATGTTTATTTTTGAAACAGAGAGAGACAGAGCATGAACGGGGGAGAGTCAGAGAGAGAGGGAGACCCAGAATCCGAAGCAGGCTCCAGGCTCTGAGCTGTCAGCACAGAGCCCGACACAGAGCTTGAACTCACGGACCATCATGACCTGAGCTGAAGTCGGACGCTTAACAAACTGAGCCACCCAGGCGCCCCTAGGAACTGCTATTTTTAATCATGTACATGAAGAATCTTTGTACAAACAAACGTCTTTAAACGGCAGCAATACCCTTTCTTCAAATACCAAATACCACTTAAGCTGGATGAAGGTGTTGCGGCTCTGGTGGGGTGGGGGCGTGCACACACAGCACTCCTGCTCTGGACCACCGCCCCCCCCCCCCCCCCCCCCCCCCCGTGGCCGTAGCTCCTCTCAGGTCACATGGATGAAACCTTAACACCACTGATTGGGGGGAGAAGGGGGCAAATCACTGAGGCAAGACCCAAAGGGACGTGCCCTCCAATGCATCCCTTGTCCCTTGTGACATTTCTACAATGGAATATCCTTTCTGTTACTTGAATATTACCAAGGAGTGTACTCCAAAGGCAGCTACAGTCCTGTGGGCAACCACTGCCCTTAGGAGTCAGAAGCCCTGGAGTCAAAGCCATGCTCTGCCTCTTAACTCAGACACTCACTAATATACACAGCTCGGCTTCCTTAACTATGAAACGGAGATCATGCCTTGGCTAAACAGGGCTCGGTGAGGGGAAAAAAAAAAAAAAAAAAAGTAAACAAGCTTTGTAAGTCGTAATATATAACTTTTGTGTGCTGAGGAGTGTTACCTGAAACTCTCCCATACTCACACTGCATAACTTTGACTTCTTTCCCGAGTGGCATCCAAAGTCCTTTAGTTGGTGCGTGAGCCAGAAATTCCCTGGCATGTTCGTTGCCTGGTACATCTGGTATACAGTCTTCCGGCTTAGTCTCATCTTCCTAAAAAAGGAAACAACATGTACACGACGTGGCAAAAGAGCACTGGAATTCTCTCCTACCTGCTTCAGAACACAGCACTGCCTGGCTTTCACATGGGCTGGACATGCCCACGTCATCCTGTTACCCTCTCCAGTACTAGAAAGAAAGACAAATTATACCTGACAGAAAAACCAGAAATAAACATACCAGAAGAATTATATCATGAAAATGATATAGCTATTCTTAGAGAAATATTACTAGTTATTGTTCACATAGGAATGCTTTGAGCTCCAAATTCTGACTCTAGATCACAAAAATTAGATTCTAAGATTACAAACTTTTCTGCTAACTTAAAAGCCTTGTGGAATGAGACAAAGTATAGAATTAAAAAGATTTCCTGAAATAATAAAAATAACCTGTTAAAATTTAAAAAATTATTATACCATGGAGATCACTTGTCATGTTTTACAATCTCATACATGCTGTATTTGACATGTGCTCTCATCACCAAATAACTTCAGTACACAATTCAGGTGTTATATTTTTTTACCTTCTGATTTTTTTCAGTTCATGTGAATATTAAATTTATAATGAAAGAAGGTTTTCTAAAAATCTTTTCATTGAAAGGGAGCAAGCAGAAAGTTGCTCTGGCCTCTAATGAGTCCTCTAAGTCTCGCACCAGGGGCTGGACTAGAGGAGCTTCCAGTCTCCTCAGAGACAGTAGTCTCTGATGATGCTCAGGAAACCAGCAGTGAGTGAGTCAGAGATGGAGCAGAGCGGTGAGAAGATGCAGCCACAGCAGGAGACAGAGAAGGGGACCGATCGCTGAGGAACATGTGGGCCTGCCACCGTTTCTTAGGGAACAGTCACACGGTTGATTACATTTCTACAAAGACACAGGCTGGAGACACAAAGCCCAAAGTGTATGGACTGACTGGCATCTGCAGGGAGAAGCAGGGTTATGAGAAAAGATGTTCCAAACCTTATATAACAGTTTTTCATAACAAGTTACTGAGTCTGAGCACTGAGTCAAATATGTCTGAGAGAATAACCAAAGGTACAAACTTCACACTGACCTTGATAAGCCCCGGAGGAGGTTTTTCATAACTAGAAAGGAAAAGAAAAACTGCTGTCAATCATGTTAACAGGAACACAATACGTTTTAATGAGCAAAAAGCAACTAGAGGTCAAAATGAAAAGAATATCTTTAGTAAAACCTTAAAACTGCATTAGATCTAAAGCAGTTAGTAAAATACGCCCAGCAGTCAGAGATCTTATATAAGTAAACTGATGCTACACCACATCCTGCAGAGATCTAGAACTAAAATTCACTGAAATGGTAACTTGGTGTCTGAGCACAATGAATTTATTTTCGAAGAAGAGAAAGCAAGAGATTGCAGGTGAAATGTGTGGGAAGACCTAAGAGCTAATCATGCTTCCAGACTGTCACGGTTGTCAGGTTATTTACCTACCATAACTTCCACTTACTCAGCATGGAGGCTCATGTGGGGAAGGCTGAGGAATCTGTTCTAACCTGGATGGAGGCAGTGCAGGGGGGCAGGAACAAAACTGGAGGGAAGGGCCTGTTGCAGGGGATGGAGGCGATGGTGATCTGTCCTAGAGGCTTCCTTTCCCATATCCCTGCAGCTCTCAGTTCAAATCCTGCCCACTCACCCTGCCCGCAGAATGAGCCATCCATTCCTCAGTTCTGACAGCCCTCTGTGCCCATACTGACCTCACTGGACTCGGGTTGTAGGACCCCTGCATGGTGCCTGGACGACATTCTTTACTGAATGATGCTAGAGCAAGCAGATGTATGATGTGTGGGAATGTACGTTCCCTTGGAGCTCACAGACTCCCAAGGGTCCTAAGGGTACATACGCATCATGTCTATGTTCCCAACTCATTTTCACTTCCTATCACTCTGCTGAAGTGCCCTAAAAGGGTTCTGGATTCCAAATCTGGAAAATCAGCACCAAATGCTTGTGTTCATTTAAACAATTATTTTTTAGATTGAGATACAATTGGCATATAATATTATTATTTTTAGGTGTAATCCCGTTGATTTTTTTTTAAACATTTTTTTTTTCAACGTTTATTTATTTTTGGGACAGAGAGAGACATAGCATGAACGGGGGAGGGGCAGAGAGAGAGGGAGACACAGAATCGGAAACAGGCTCCAGGCTCTGAGCCATCAGCCCAGAGCCCGACGCGGGGCTCGAACCCACGGACCGCGAGATCGTGACCTGGCTGAAGTCGGACGCTTAACCGACTGCGCCACCCAGGCGCCCCATAATCACGTTGATTTTTAAGTACTGTCACACAACTGGCTATCAAACACACTGGACACACCCCCTTCCCTCTACAAAAAAGCAGCAACTGGAAAATCATGTGGGACAACTGAACATCTTAGGTCTTGTCAATGACTCTATAAATATTTTGAGAGGGCATCTGGGCAATAGGCTGTTTAAAGTTGTGATTTGAGAGGCGTCTGAGTGGCTTAGTCGGTTGAGTGTCTGACTCTTGATTTTAGCTCAGGTCATGATCCCTCGGCAGTGGAATCGAGCCCCATGTTGGGCTCTACACTGAGCATGGAGCCTGCTTAAGACTCTCTCTCTCCCTCTGCCCCTCTCCCCGCAGCTTATGCAATCAATCAATCAATCAATCAAAATTGTGTTTTGACCCTAAAAGTTTGGAAATGTGGGAGTCCCAAAAGTGCTGCACACAGGTAGTGGGTTCAGAGATGATTAATTTTCTGAATTTTGTATAGTGAAATGTCTTACTTTTAGCACCAGGAAAACATTAATAAATGTTAAAATGGTAAATCATTTATCTAATAGTCAAATAGATATCGACTATCCCAAAAGGAATGTAGGACAATACTGCAAACAGTTTAAGTTAATAAAAAAAATGAGTAGGGTAAAGTATTTGGTGTGCTTCCATGTGTATATATGGGGAAAAGGAGACTATATGTACATACATATAAACACAGATATGCCTTGTTATGAATAGCATACCTCTGGAAGAGTACCTGAGGGAGGGACCTTTAGTTTTCATTACATGTATTTATATGCAAATATATCAACTCAACGTTTTTCATTACAAAAGAAAAATGAAATTAATGGCATTTTCCTTATACCTATGCTGGCATAAACCAAGGAAAAATTAGCCTCTGAAGGAAAATCCAAAGGTAATTTGAGATATGAAAGAAAAAAGGGCCAAAAATATGCTATTAGCAGCTCCCTTCTGCTATAGAGTTATATAGGCAGCATTTTTGTTTTAAAGTTATAGTGTTATTTCTGTAATTTTTTCCCACGAATTAAGTCTTGACTCTAGCTCTATTCAACTTGGTATTTTCCTCCTAACAAAAAAGAATGGGTAAAATAGGTGAAACTAAACTTAACTATCAGGCAATATTGAAGGTTCAACTTAAAAACTTACTCCTTGCAAAAGTAGCCAGTCAACAATTATGCCAGGCTTGGTGCTAAGTATCAGAAGAGAGAACTAAGGGCATAGAAAACTTGCTTTTGCCCAAAATCCCTAGGAAGAATGAGGCACGGTACTCAATTTATTTCCCTTGAGTAAAGAACATCAAACTCATTACTAAATTATATTATTTTTGTTACTTGATTCTCTGTATAACTGTGCAACTGTCTTGATGGAGAGGTTTGGTTTTTTTGAGTAGAAAACCCCCACATTGCAGGTAGAACATTTTTTAGTTCAAGATCAGTGTGAGTGGCCTTTGGAGGTGTTAAAAGAAAACCACAGGCCCAAAATGGAGCCAGTTAGGCCAGGTCACCAAACTGGGCCTTAATACAGACTCTAGTTACAGTTTCAACCTCACCCATAAATGTAGTCTTCACCTTCAGCAGTAATTTTCTGATCAGTACCAATAAACTAATCTGTCATATGGGCCCTCCTACCCCCCAAGAGAAAGATGAGGTAATTTGCAGGATAAAACTCCCTGCTCTTCCAACTAAGGCAAAGTGACTTTGCCTGGAACAATAGTTTCTTTTCTTTTGCTAATAACTTCATTCACCACCCTACCTATAGAAATGTTCTGTTTTGTACAACTCTTTGGAGCACCTCTCTACTTGATAGGTGAGATGCTGCTGGATTCATGAATCAATTAATAAAACAAATTAGATTTTCAAATTTACTAGGATGAATTTTTGTTCTTTAATACAGGTAAAAAAAATTTTGGTTTGAATGGACTCATTCTCACTGCTGTGTACTTTGGGACAAGTTATTTAACCCTTCAGAGCCTCCATTTCCTCATGGGTGAATATGTCACAGCATGTATGTAAAAGGCACTTTGCAGTGGTGGCTCCTTCTGTTGAAAGCAAGTTGCTCTCAGCAGTCTCATGAGGCAGGTCAAGACTAGATAGAGCACTCGCATCACAAAGACCAAGATGTGGACCAGTAGAGAAACCTGGCCATCCCAAGCCAGACTTCACATCTTTGTGTAGATCTGTAGCTTTGTAAGGATTTGCCAGCTGCTTCTAAGTGGAGGTGGGCATCAACCTGACAGTGGACTTCCCAGACAGCATCCCCAGCTGGGTTTACTGCCTTTCTTTTTAAAAATAATTTATTGTCAAGTTAGCTAATATACAATGTAGTCTTGGCTTCGGGAGTAGATTCCCGTGATTTATCATTTACATACAATACCCAGTGCTCATCCCAACAAGTGCTTCCTCAATGCCCACCTCCCATTTTCCCTGCCCCCACCCCAACCTCCCACCCCCATGATCCCTCAGTTCTCTGTATTTAAGAATCTCTTATGGGGGCGCCTGGGTGGCGCAGTCACTTGAGCCTCCGACTTCAGCCAGGTCACGATCTCGCGGTCCGGGAGTTCGAGCCCCGCGTCAGGCTCTAGGCTGATGGCTCAGAGCCTGGAGCCTGTTTCCGATTCTGTGTCTCCCTCTCTCTGCCCCTCCCCCGTTCATGCTCTGTCTCTCTCTGTCCCAAAAATAAATAAACTTTGAAAAAAAAAAAAAAGAATCTCTTATGGTTTGCTTCCCTCTCTGTAACTTATTTTTCCTTCCTTTCCCCTATGGTCTTCTGTCAAGTTTCTCAAATTCCACATATGAGTGAAAACATCTATCTTTTTCTGATGGACTTATTTCACTTAGTATAACAGCCTTCAGTTCCATCCACGTTGTTACGAATGGCAAGATTTCATTCTTTTTCATTGTCGAGTAGTTTCTAAAGCCATGAGACTCAGAGACTCCTCTTCCATATCTGGCTTCAGGGATCACTGCCTTTTCCCCATGCAGGTGGTACATCAGCATTCAGCCAAGTCTATCGTCATGTCCTGTGAGGCTCATAAAATATGCCTTATTATAGTTATTAAACTATCTTGATAAAATCACATAAGAAAAGGGCAGGCCAGGGACTCTGACCCTCAGTTTTTTCAGTATCAATTCCAACATTTTCCCTCATTGATTCCAACAACTGAACACTAAGCAGTAAACAGCTGAATTGGGACAATCATCCAGACCTCGTTACATTCGGCATTCTTTCACTGAGTTGCAGCCACTGTTCTGGGCCAGCAGTGTATCTCCTGTATTAATAACTGTTCCTGGGTTAAATAAATTGTGCAAGGGCACACAGCCCTGAGTCCATGTGCTCACCTGTATATGACTATCAGTACATGTTTAACTGAATCCACTAATCAGTCTAGCACCGTGTTTATCACTGGAAAACAGAAGACTCCAGTAACACTTTAAATTCAGAGCTTCAGTACAATTTGATTTAGGCATAGATACTATTGTGAATCCAGTTTTCCCTAAAAATTTCCCCCCACATTGCTTATTTATCCTTATTTGTGGTAAAATTTACATACCATACTTCCCTAGGTTTTGACAACACTCTCCTCCCCAAAGCAAAATACCATGAGGCTGTGGGAGGTAGTAACAAGGACAATGACCTCACACTCTCTCTGAGGCAGGGATCGGGTTGAGTGTGTGCAGATATTAAATGTATACGCGCTTGGTTGTTGATGCTAGGAACATCCATGTGGAGGCAGATAATTCTAAGGAGTTTGTGAGGGGAAATGTCAAGCTACAAGGCAACATTTGAGCCACGCCCTGACATTTATACCAAGT